ATTCATTTTGCTGAGCAAAGAACGGAAACAATTCCAGAGTCTCGAGAATGCAATAGCTGCTTGCCAAAACCAATAAGACACAAGGAAGGTCTCATGGACCTTATCCTTCAGATCAATTTCGGCTAAGATGCTCGATCGCACAATGAATTCCGACTACGACGTATTAGCAACTTTCGAATATCGATTAGAAGCTACTTAAAGATCGGTTTGTATTTGAATGAGATGCACCACTGCCCAATCGTACGACTTTACTTTTTATTCAGTACACCGAACGACACGGGTTCACGGCTAAAGCAATATCACGCATTGGCTCAGGTCCGACCCAAAGATCTCAAGACTGCAGGCCATCACGAAAGGCCTTTACAACACCGCATTGTTTATACCTCGTATTCGAGGGATAGGGTCAATCCGCGTTCACAGCCAGCACGTTTCTTGTGAGCACGTTTTCCAGAGTACTTTTCCAACCAGTGAGTTTCTCACCGGCTCATATGACGTCATGGCTCACCAGGATATAACTTGTAGCAAGACCTGTACAGCATGTTGCAAATGAGTGGTCAACCAAAGCTTTTCTTTTTGCAGTTTGAAATTAATTTAAAAAAATATAACGGTTATGAAACGTGGAACACGAGATTAAACCTATCATCCGGTGAGCGACTTTGAAGAAGACAACGTCTTCAGATGCCTTTGTTCGTTCATTCTTCCCAGTGGACAGGTCAAGACTAATTCACTGATCAGATAAATGTAACCTGGCTTTCCTATAGCTCTAAATACCACAGTGAAAATGACGGGACATCAACCTGAAGATCGAGTGCTGACTTCAGCAGGCTGTTATCCGTTCCATCTTCCTGTATGGATGTGAGAGCTATATCCTTAGAGTCTGGAAGGTAAAAAAACGATAACCCTTCGACCACAGATTTTCAGTATCACCTCGCCAACACGACCATATACCCAATGCCACAATTCCTGCCCGTTGCAACAACGTCCTACCGTACTGAAAGAACGGCGACTACTTTAATTTGGGCACGTGCTGGAATATTCATCAGACGATCTCTATTAAGCTGAACGATACTCAGATCCACTGCGTGCCATCGGTAAAGGTACAAGTGAAAGCCTTGTAGAAAGCTGTCAGGGCTGAAGTTGAGTTTTTCTCTGGGCCGGCAAGGCAGGAAATAAACGGTGCAACGGGGACCGGTTGAACCTGATGATAGACGTTGCACGTAATCTACAATGGTAGAAGGAGACAGTCCATCCGGAATGTAGTTGGAGCTGACTAAACCAGCAATGGTGAGAGTGTTGCAATAAGAAATTGCTTTGATTTTTAACGGGGCTTTACTTTTCGTAACAGGATCTTACGGAGAACTGCGCATACTCTTTTTCAGAAGCACTATTCTATACGGCGATACTGTTACAGGCTGTTGTTTTAGGTAACAATAGATAATGCACAGTTTGTGGGGTTGCTGTGGGTACTAAAAGCTAATGTGCTTATATGGCCCACTGGGTGCTTAAGAACATGTGTGCGGGAAAAGGGGAGAGTGAACACAAACCATGATTTCTGCACTGAAGGTGTTCAACGATTTCTATCAGATACTTTAGCCATTAGTTAATATTTTTTCTCTTGTATGCAGTGCTATTTAAAATCCGTGCCATATCATTAAGCAAAGCACCTTGCTTGTGACGCATCCACTACGACGTTCAGAATTTATTTATGGTGTTGTTATTTATAATTTTCATTTTTTAATTAATTTTTACGATTTCACTGATATTCAATGTAGACGATTTTTACCCCCTTGCTGACCTATATGGATCATGACTGAAAAAATTCGCTTCCGGTACAAGCGGGTGAAACGAATGACAACGACATTCTGAGACGAATGACATGACTCACGTGTTTCGACCAAGTCTGAGTAAATCCTGGTGTACACCCATCGGTTCTTCAGATTGAGAAGTCACACAATACTACTACCTGCCGAAGTGACCCACTGAAGACATCGTGGATAGTCAAGGATGACTTGAGGCAATTGACTCAATAGATCCTGCTCCAGACTCGGGTTAACTTCTGTCGAAGCGCAGACGCTGGCAACAGCGAGGGAACGTTGGAGGCACAGCCTGACGCATTTGCGTCCCCAACCCGAAAGGATAGGCGGTCGTCGAAGATGACTGACTTTCTGTTTGACGATCTAATACTCAGTTATGCTACGAACACCACTCATCACTTCATCCGAGTGCACCAACTTTCCCGGTAGGGCGTACTGACGAACTCTGAGCGTCGGTCATGTTCGATCTTCGATTGTTCTGTGATGGTCGCTGTATGTTTGTTTCGGTATAGACAGACGGTGCTTAGTGTTTGATCGTTTTTGAGGCGTTTTGGCCACTTAGGACCGAACCGCAGTTTACCTCCATTGTGCCAGGACTAATAAAAAAACGACCATGGTTTTTGTCGAAGTCTTCCGTTCACCGCATAAAGGCGTAGTAAATGCGCGTAGTTTTGACAAGCCCTCAGGAAAGTCTGGTTTCTGAGCAAACCTGACCTCTTGCCTAAACGTTTTCAGTTGTACGCTAAACGAGCCGACGCGACGGTATTCCAGCAAAGGCGACAATGTCACGTTTGTCTGATGTTCAAGGCCACGAACACGTTCCCCTTAACTCTCATTTATAAAGCTGCAAGACAAATTCACACCGGACGAACGCTGCGTCCGGTGATCCGGTGCGACATTTCCTAATCGATGCCAGGAATGGCTTACCTTCCTTAACACGCTCACGAAGGAGTTAAAAAAGTGCGTTGATAATCATCAAAACATGGCTGATCAACTGAAAGTTCTAACTGGCGGACATAAGACCTGGAATTATTGCTAAACCTCCAATAAGGCAAAAGAAATACCGGCACAGGTCTGGAAATCCGATCGATGATTGGTTCGTTGATCAGCACCGTACAATAATACCATAGCTTAAGAGAAGAGTATTATTCAGGTAGAAAAAATCATAAGAATCTTCCTAGTAATTCATCGGACAAACGATAGTAGAATAGCTTGTTTGTTTGCTTAAAGTCACTAGCAAACACAATACAAGACCAATGCCATCCTTCACAGAGAGATGACGTCATGATGTACAAATTACGTCTGTACTTAGGCCACGGTTCACAGATTTTAATGATTCACCTCGTAAAGCAAGTAATGTTTTTCTACTTCGTCTTGCAATATCGTAAAAGACATCAAACTGTAGATCAAATGACGATGGTCATTTGGTCGAAGTAAGAAATTGTGAAAGTTCGAAACGATGATAAGCAAACCCCCTAAGCAAACCGGACTTCTTGGTATTGACTATACAGGCGTAATCAGAAATATAATCTTCCCCATTTCATGTAGGCGTGATTCCTCAATTGTTTCATATACTTTCATTCGTTCGACAGTCGTTTATTATTGAATCATTTTTCATCTGAATCTATCATTCTTCTTGTTCATGAATCGTCGTTCTCTGTTCAAATCGATAAATTCCTTTTCCATTGAAATGGTGGTCAAAATCATCATGGCCTTTCATGAGAATAATGTAGGCAGAATATCTCGATCCATATGTAACTTTATGGCGCATCAGCTGGAAAAAGGAGTAGGCGAATCACGTCGAAAACATGCACGGTTTGCACGACCTATGGGAAACCTTTTCGTCATAAACAGTTTCTACTCGCATCCACCGCATGGTTTTTTTTTTGCATTAAGCCCATGCACACCTCTCAGAGTTTTAGTCCCTCAGGTAAGCTAGTCTTTTCCATTATGAGTTATATACAAATAAATTGGCTAATCGAAAAGTCAACCAAACCTTCTTTAGAAGGATTATTACAAAGCTGCGTACGATTAGTCTTAGGCACTTCGTTTCGCTATGCATTCAGCAATGAAAATGTCGATGTTCGGTAAGTTGTAGAAAGTGCTGTTCAAAATTATATCACAAATCTACTGAGAGAATAGCCCCAATAACAGAATAGTTTACAGTCTCCAAAATGAAAAGTAAAAATTAATGAATTTCGACATTTTCAACAAGCTGCAATAAATTTTATCAAATTGACTATTTTCACCAATTAGTTTAGTTATTCATTTGCTAATTCGCTTATTCCCTTATTCATTTGTTCCTTCTATTGGTATAGGAATCCCGTTTTACATTATGAGCGTTGTGTAATCCTGAGGAAGACCCCTTTCATGCGGTCAAAACATTGGTAATAAAATCTGTCCTGTGTTCAGTTAGACTACCGTTGCGTTCAAAGCCATTAAATCAAGGAACATACTCAATTTATTGAGGGCTTTGACAGAAGCAGGAGGAGTTTCCATCATCGCTTCATTCGTTTTTCATACACCTTCTTCTCTGCCGTTTGCCGGCTACTGGGTCAGAACATTTTGTCAATGTCTCGGTCCTTCGCTACTTGGGTAGGCTCCACGGGTAGCATTCCAATTCGCTGCAACGCTTGACCATACCGTTGACCCAATCACCTGGTTTTACGGCCTACTCCTTGGCCACATTTAATGTAATTATTTCATTTAACCTTAAGGGTATCTAACTTTTAATCCTGACTGCAATGCCTATATGCCTTTATTGCTTTATTCTATCTAAATTCTCGAATCTTGCTATTTGTCTATGACAAGAATTAGGTTCTTCGGGGAAACAGGGGTTGTTGAACGATGATTTGAGGTGAGTTTTGACTTCTCAACGCTCGGACTTCTCAATCCTGTCACAGAGGGTCACATGTTCTCTGTTTTGCTGTTTTGTCGGCCGAGTTCGTAAAGAGAAGCAACGATTAACGAAAAACAAAACTCATGCCAGTCTAACACTCGTTGCCTCTACAATCGACAAACCCCACTGCACCTCTAACTGCATTGTTGACTGAAGAGTGTGCAATGACCTTCAACTCACCGCATTGACTTGTTCACTTTCAGAGACAAGCATTTCTTTTGCGTTACTATGACGCTTTTCAACAGGTTCCGGTCTTAAATCATTCAGCTACGTTCTATCGGTCATTTTGCAAAGGCCGTCAATGTCAGATGTTCTATATACTCGAACCATATGGTGTATAGTCACTTTTCAATGTCTGCTATCTGACTTTACGATTTCCATCCCTGACGAGGACACATTGACTAGGTGACGGAACCATCGCATATGAGATATTTCGCTTTGATGAGGAACGAACCTTTTTTATATTACCCTGCCAAAGCACTCATTGAGCTTCGTTCCCTTAAGAAATCTTTCAGGAGATCTTTACAAATTAATACATGATATAGAACTATTTGTGAAAAATGTAGTGGCATTCATAGTCGTTCAGTCAAACATAACATGACCTGAAAAT